TTTTATTATTTGGTTGGAAGTTAGTCACAAACTTCATTTTCGTTGTATAAGGAGGTTCCCGAGTTTAACCTATTAAAAACTCCTAATTAAATTAGATACTCTCAAGATCAAATTTTAGGGATAGTACCAAGTCATTTTTTACTAAACCTGTATAATTCATGGTGATAAGCTTTTATCCCTTAAACTCTATTTTTTTAATTCATATTCTACAATTTAGTTTCCCGTTGCGTATTTATAAACCTTTTCTAAAAAACTCTGATTTAAATCAGAAAAGTTTTTTTCAGATTCAATTTTTTTTTAAACACACAATTTATCACCATCTTGTATGTGAATTCACATGTCTAACATCCACGACTTCATGTTAACATTATGTTTGTCCATAAGAATCCACTCCAAGAAAAAGTAGTTATGCTTAGTTCAAAGCATTATCAAATGAGGCTTCCATGACATGGCTGCTAACATGGACACCTCTGCTAAACTCGTTGTGTGATAAACCCACATGACATTAGAAGATGCGGTCAACGACCCAAGATTGACCTGAGATTTATAACAATACTTTAGTGCACTCAAGTGTTATAATCACATTGCCCTCCTCCTACCTTAGAAGCCTAGGCCACATGGAGAATTTTCTAAGCGAAACATTTTAGTGATAAGACAACAATTTAATGCATGTATTCCTAAGGACAACTACTCTCACTAAACATGCCATAAATCTCTTCCCCGTTAATTATTTTTTAATCTATTCAATATATATTTCGGGTCAGCCATACGATCTAATAAAACCAACCCAATTCGAAGAATCCACTCTAGAATACCCTTGCCCAAGACTAACGAACAAGAGACCCTCACTATGGAGCTAGACAACACACTCGTCTCAGCCATCACAGTCAATCTAATGTTCACATGCATTCCTTCCGTCAACAGGATCCGTGATACGGTGGCAGAACCAACTGTTAATACTGGTTTGTGTTTTTTGTTCGTAAATATCGCGGTAAGCAAGAGTCGCCACCGATTTTTCTTTTATCCAACAAAGGAAAGGGTGAAAAGAACAAAAACAGACATTTTTCGAGATTTTCTGAGTAAGGGGGGTAGATTATGGAAAGGGAAGGTGTTAGCACCCTTTCCATCCGTGGTTTTCCACGGGCTCTTAGGTACTTGCTCATTTTTTGAAAATTGTGTGTGTTTGTGTGTTTTGAAAGATTTTTGTTTGCTTTATGGTAACTATTGTATCAGTCTCAAGAGTGTGATAAAGCATTTTTAGAAAGATTTTTTTTGAAAGTGTGTAAGTGTGAAAATTTCAGGTTTGAGCAAGTACTTAAGAACAGTCTACCTACTCGAAAAAGGATGTTGTTTTCCTCCTTTCCTTTAGATAGTTTTATCCTACTATTAATGAGTAGGTAACCCTATCGTCGGATGTTGAGGGACAATCGAAGGGACGTTTTACAATCACGAAGGAAACTTGTGGAGACGCTTTAGCAATTTTCTTTTAGGGACTAGATCATTTACCGAAAGACAATTGTAGGGTCATCGAGGGACTATGATCTTTTTTTATTTATGGGTCTTTACTAAAGCGTTCTTGTCTCATGACTGTTTTATTTAAAGGAAATCAAAGTGGGAGATACCTTAGAGGTGCGCATGTGCAAGTGTGTTGAGATTCAGTTATATATCTTGCATTATTAAGTTTGCTAACGTTTTAATTTTCAATCTTATCATGCACGCCTAGTTACTAACAGTTAATATTTACAGAAATTTAAAGTGCGAAAATTTAAATTCTAGGCTATTACAACGCTTTGGGACAATTACATAAAAAGTTCAAGAAAATAAAATGCAGAATTTTAAATCTAGACTATTACATCCCATAATAAGTTACATTATTTATATAAAATGCGAGAATAAAAATAACGCGCGCAAAATAAAAACTACCTCTAAAAAACCTAAGAAAAATTCTAAGTAAACAAGAAAAATCTTTTTGGTTTCATTTTTATTTATTTCAATAAAAATAATTAAACTAAATCTAAATTTAATTTAAGAAAATAAATATTGAATGAAATTAATCTAATTCTAATATTTTTGCATTTTTTATTAAGAAAACATTTGAAACATAAATTAAATCTTAAATTCTAGTTCATTTTAAAATAAAAAAGTAGTTAAAATTTAATTAATTAATTAATTAAAGCATTTCATTATTTTAATTAAAAAAGTCTAAGCCTAATTTTTTTGTGAGTTTTTTTATTATTTACTTAATTAAGTAAAGAAGATAAAAGAAATTAAAACATTACAAAAAAAAACTAGATGGGCTTGAGATAGTAAAAAAAAGTGAGGGTGTGGTTGTTGAATTCGCTGGCCCATGAAGGGAGAGGCCTAGATTTGCTTCTGGATCCAATATGGATTGGTCTTGATGGCACATGGTGAGACTGCAGATGAAGTGCGCTAGATCTGATCAGATGGACATCTGATGGCACATGTCTGATGGTGTATAATGCACATCTAGCTACGAGGAGCACCGGATCTGCATGAAACAAGTTAGAAAATATAAAAAATGGAGCTTAGTGAGGCGTTTTGTGATGTTTCAGGACTTGGTAATGATTGCAAAAGCTTCAAGGAGCCTCCAGGAATGTATTTGGATCCTTTGTTTGGACTGAGAAAGGCTGTAACCTAAAATACGAATTTTAACAACTTTGATAATTTTTGCAAAATTTGTAGAGCTTTTCCAGACTGTATCTCATGTGTCTTGAAGCTTGCTAATGTTTCATTTATATAGAGAGGAGGGAGGAGACAAGAGAACAAAGGTAATAACAACCATAAACATGTATTTTTAAAGCCATGAATAATATTTTGTAACTTTGCCAAAAACATGCAATCTTGTCCTTTTTGAATTTGAATGAATGTGGACATTGCTTTCACGAAATTTTATGGGCCTAGGCTGTCCAAAACATCAATTCAAAGCTCAAAGCCCATTTCCAATTATTTTATACATTTTATTTTATATTTATTTGAAATAAATTAAAATAAATATGAATAAAATAGTTAGCAAATGCAAGGCATGGCAAGAATAATTTTAGAGTTCCTCTATAAACTTAGGAAGATGCTTGAAGTCTAAGAAATTGAGCCCTTGCCTTAAAACTTCAAATTTGTTCAATGCATAATTCTTGAAAATTCTCAAATTTTCCCAACTTGGGATAGCCATAACTTTCTCAATATTTATCTCATGATGATGATCTTTGACTTTTTGGAAGTACCAAGATGTCTACTTCAATACCTATTTTGATTAATTTTTCATTTAGATATTTTATCTTGATATAAAGGGTCTTGGAAAAAAGTGGTTTTTGTTGACTTTCTGAAAATGACCTGTAATGTATGAGCTTGTATCTTTCAAATGGTGCATTTCTTGGACTTGAGGGCTGAAGATAAGTTATAGGGAATGAGATTATCTTCAATATGAGCTTTGGTTGGAGAAAAATGGATGAAGTATGTGAAAGTTACGCCTGATCAAAGTTTAGTTAATTTTTCCTATAGAAACCATACTTTGTCATTTTTGACTTCTGATGGGTTAGGAGCATTTCTTGAGGAATCATGATCAAACCTTGATCAAATGATGAATATCACTTCAAAATATTGATGTTGACCAAAAATCTTGAAGTTTGACTGTACATAGGCCACATATGACTTTTGACCTAAAATAATTGATTTTTCAATACTTGAGCAATTGATTGAGCAAACTTGTTGAGCAAGGCATGAAACCTTGCATGGATGATCTTGAGGACATATTAGGATAATGGAGAACATTTGGGATCCTTGGAGCTCAACCATCTTGATGAAAATTAAAACCCTAGTTGAGGGCTCATTCCTTAGGAGGAAAATTGTCTGGTCAAATCTTGGTCAACCTAGGGCAATTGAAAACCTTTAGGAGTATGTCTTGTGTGAAAATGAAAGGGCAAATTTTGGGGTACAACATGATCAATTTTAACCCTCCGTCAGAGCCTAGTAATAAGTGTCTTGAGGGGAAACTCACACTTGAGAAGAAGTGTTAGAATAATAAACCAAGTGTGAGTAAGTGTAGAAATAATATCACATTGGATAGGAATATGGAGACTTGAACATATATAAGTGGGAGAACCCACTCACCTAACACCTTAAAGTTTTAAGTAAGTAAATGGTGTGTCTCTCACAAAAATACATAATCCTTAATTTTATATCAATGCTCCTAATAACTCCCATTAACAACGTCAAAATATAATTCATTCATTTTTGCAAATTTCACATCTCTAATCTTACCAACTTTAAATTGAAACATTAATCTTGTAGGGACACCCTGTTATCTGAAACTCTTACCAGCATATTAGAAAGCTTCCATACAACGGCGCTCATCATCGTATCACTTATTTCATGTTCCACATCAATATATATTCTTGTCGTATGCAACTTCCGGTTGTTTTGCTGGTTCTCACATCTAGTTTATTTTCTGCTCCCACTTCTGCTTTGAGAAAATAACTTTTCACACTAACGTACTGCACTAGAATATCAATTTTCCCTCACTAAAAAAACTCTAAATCTACCTACTTTTTCAACCTCCATTAATTACATATCATATCTATTAATGGTACACCTAATACGCCGGCCACACACACATGCATAAAATAAACTCCAATTGCAGTAAGCTGAATGTAAAACCATTAAAAAAGTTTCAGCACCTTTCAATTGTCAATGTTTGCCAGATGGGATTCTGATCATACAAATAATTAAAAAAATTGAATCGAATACAAATATTACCAATGTTTCAACTAACAAAATAAATGAAATATTGCAAATGGACAGTACATGACAAATGTAATAATGTCAACGATGAAACTCATAAACAATTTGAAAACCAAAATGGCCCAAAAATAAATCCATTTAAATTATTTCCAAATTCCAGCTAGCAAGAAAATAACTCAACCTGTGCCCTACCTGAGAATCTTTGTATATGAAATGAAACTATCGGAATAAATGGTAAGCATTTATTAGTCTAAGAAATAGTTAAATAAATCAATAGAAGGAGTTTGAGGTGAAACAAAATTAGAAGGACTAGGTAAAAAGAAATTAGCACCAGGCTCCATAAAATTTCTACTACTAAGAAGTGCAGGACTGAAATCTTGAAGTAAGTTGCTAAACATGTTCGGATCCGAAGACGGTGGCGAGAAAAAGTTAGCCGGAATCGGAGATAGTGAAGCCGGTCCCGGAGACAAAATCCCTTGAAACATCATGTTTCCTCTCTCAACTCCATGGTTCATCAATTCTATCCCTTCCATGTCGCTTACTACATCACTAGTACTAGTAGTAATAGTAGTAGTATTTGTTGTTATTGGTAGTACTATTTGATGATGCTGTTGTTGTAGTTGCTGTTGCAGTTGATGTTGTTGTCTTCTTCCCAAAGGAGACATAGCTTTCTCTACCGTGGCATAACGCGCCGCGGGTGATATTGTTCCGTCACCGTGAAAAGGATTGAAAGGATCTATGTTTGATGAAGATAAAGAGGAGGAAGATAGTGAGGATGAGGATGAGGAGGAGGAAGAGGAGGAGGAGCCGGTGAGACGTTGAACAAGGTTCATGAAGTCCCCCGGTGTGGTGTGGATTACCTTAGGGGAGACGGTGTATATTATAATCGGTTGACGCGGTGGTTGATGATGCTGTTTCTGCTGTTGTTGTAACTGTGGCGGCGCCAACGGTGGTTTGTTGATTTTCCGAGAGTCTTTGTGTATTCTAAGAGGTGTAGGACGAGGACCTTGGAGTTCTCGTTTTGGTGATCTTCCGGAGGGAATGTAAGGGAATTGATCCATGTTATGTGTAATTAAATGGGGGTGTGAGGAGTTGTAGAGGCACTAGATAAGCGTAATTGTTGTGAACTTTATAAGGGCTGACATGAATAAACAAAAAAGGATCTGGTCAATGATGAAGAGAGGAAAATTGTATTTGTTGAGAGAACTTTGGCTTATTCAAAAAGAGTGAAATATAATTTTATAGAGAATTTGATAACTACGGCCGGTTTCGTGATGTTATGGTTGTCTGAATATGAACGCGTTTGAATAGAGAAATAGAGTTGGAAAAGGTCATGCTAATGTCATTGTAATGTAAGGACTAAGGCGATAGGAGCAAGTAAGTGATGTTGAGTACAAATGTATGTGCAAGTGGATATAGGTCTAAAGTTGACAAGTTTGACAATAGTTATGTGGATTATTAATTATCTAGAGGACATTAAATTAGAATTTGAATCTATATAAAGAATAACTAGAATTTTATATATGTGTTTTGTATTTGGATCCTTAGTTTTTTTCTTTTTTTTTTTCTTCATAAGTGGAGTGGCCGTCGTTGGTTGATGTATATTTCTATACTATATTTTTCACACTTTAAATTTACTACTCATTTGTTTGGCTTATATCAATCCGTTCGACTAGAAAACCTACTATTGGTTACACACCTTAAATGCAGGAATGTGGAATAAACCACCAATTAAGTAAATTTTCTCTTTACACCTTAAGAATTTCTCTTAAATTTATAAATGTCTCAAAATATTTTCGTCCATAAGTTAAATCTATTAAAAACAACGTTTTTCTCTCTCTAAACTCTTTGTTATGGCTTCTCACTAAAACTTTCTTTTCGGCCGGTGATCCGGAGTGGTCAAAGGTAAGGAGGAAGGGGTGCGCAGAGTAGTTTCACAATGGGATTCTTCTCTTGTAGGAAGGAGCTTTAATGGGATGGAGGAAAAGGGGGTTTCTTTTATTTTCTTTTCCGAGATCCCAGACAAGGTTAAAGCCGAAGACTTTTTTGGGTTGTTCGGATGTGTAGCGAAGGTGGTTGATGTGGTTATTCCACCTAAGAGAAATAAGATGGGTAAGCGTTTTGGGTTTGTTAGGTTTAAGGAAGTCGGCGACGCTAGGCTGTTGGCGATGAGACTGGACAACATTTTAATAGATGGGAAGAAGATTCACGCGAATCTTCTGAGGTTCGGGCATAGTAGAGTGACCGACAGAGCAAAGGGTAGAGGTGGGCCGAGTATTGGGGCTAATATGCCTCAGAAGGCTTTCCATAGAAGAGGACTCAGAGCGAACAATTTTGTTGGATCTAAAACGTTTGCAAAGGCGGTGGTCAATAGAGGTGGCTCAAAGAGTTTAGAAGATGAATTGGCATTGAAAAGTTAGTTTGAAGCAAGAAGATAGGGAAAAGATGAAGAAGGCCTTTGCGGGTAAGGTCTTTACTCCAGGTTCTACTTATAATATACAAATTACTTTTGAAATCGAGGGTTTCTACTCTATAAAGGTAACACCTTTAGGAGGTATTCTTTGTCTTTTTGAGGAAGTTGAGAAAGGATTCATATTGGACCTTATCAAGAATGATGAAAAGTGGTGGAAACAATGGTTTCCCGAAATCAAACCTTGGGAAGAGGAGATTGTGGACAACATTAGAGTAATGTGGGTGACGGTCTATGGCGTGCCTTGTCATGTTTGGAATATGGATTTTTTTCTTTCTCTGAGTCTAGAGGGAAATCCGATAGTCTTATAATTTTGTGGAAAGAAGGGGTGTTTGATGTAATTTATAGTTTTAGAGGTGAAGGGTTTCTGGGAGTGAAGGTTAGGTGGAGAAGATTCATTTACTATATCAGTAATGTGTATTCTTCCTGCGAGTTGGCGTTGAAGAGATCTTTGTGGGAAAAAATGTTGGATTTCAAAGCTAATCATATTGACAGGGAATGGATTATTCGTGGCGATTTCAATGCGATTAAGAATTCTAGAGAAAGTAAAGGTAGGGCGGGGATCTATAGAATTTCAGATATGAAGGAATTTGTTACGTTTATTGATCAGAGTAATCTCCTTGATGTTCGGTGTAAAGGGAAAAAGTTCAGTTGGTTTATTAGAGACGGGAAGAACATGAGTAGAATTGATTGTTTTTTAGTCTCAGCAGTTATTATGAATAGATGGGGCTGGTGGGTCAATTTATCAATATTCATGATATTTTGGATCATTGTCCTATATGGTTGGTGGTAGACGGGACAGATTGGGGTTCGAAGCCTTTCAAGTTCAATAACAAGTGGTTTTCAGATAAAGCTTTTGTTCCTTTTGTAGAAACGAAATGAAAGAGGTTGGTTGTGGTAGGAAGGAGTGATTTTGTTCTTAAGGAGAAATTGAGGTTGTTAAAAGAAAGGCTTAAATAGTGGAACTCCGAAGTGTTCAGGGAATTTGATTCGGAAGTGGAAGAAGGGGGAGTTAAACGAGGTGAATGAGTTACTATTGCATGATTATGATAGTGGGTTGGATGAGATTTTAGCGAAAAGGAAGGAAGCATCTAGTCGGTTTTGGTTAAACCTCAAAATAAAGGAGAATATGCTAATTCAAAAGCAAGGTTCAAGTGGATTAACAATGGAGATAATAATAGTAGTTTATTTCATAGAGTCATGAAAGAGAGAAGGAGACATAATCATATTGGTTCGATTAACTCGGACAATGGAATTTTGGACTCCGTTTGTAAGTTAAAGAAGGAAGTATTAGAGCATTTTTTTTAGAAAATTAGTTGAAGAAGATGCAGATAGACCCTATCTTGATAGTATCACCTTCAAGAGCCTCAATAGCCTTGAAGCCCATCTCTTAAATGCTGGTTTTCACATAGTGAGATTAGGGAGGCAGTTTGGACTTGTGAAGGATCGAAAAGTCTGGGTCTGGACATATTTTTTTCTTTTGTTTACACTAAGGTGTTGGCATATTCTTAAAGATGATTTTATGAGTTTTTTCAATGGTTTTCATTCGGGTACGGTTTCATCGAAAGCCATCACTTGTTCTTTTTTTACTTTGTGTCGAAGGCTCCAAATCCTTTTGGGCTTGATGATTATAGGCCTATTTGTCTGGCTTGATGATTATAGGCCTATTTGTCTGGCTTGATGATTATAGGCCTATTTTTCAAAAGTTTTTTCCTAAGCTTTTAGCGGGGAGATTGAAAGTTGTTTTGAATTCCTTAGTCTCATCTAGCCAAAGTGCTTTTGTTCTTGGAAGACAACTTTTAGAAGGGTTTTAGTCGTGAATGAGTTGGTGGACTTACCTAAGAAGGATGGAAAGTTATATTCTCTTTGAGGTGGATTTTGAAATATTGTATGATAAAGTTAGCTGAAACTTCCTTAGGTTCATGATGAGGAGGATGGGTTTTGGCAATATTTGGATGAGATGGATGAAGTTGTTGATTTTTCATAGAAATATGTCGATGTTAGTGAGTGGGAGCCCGACTGTGGAGTTTTAGGTGGAGCGTGGCTTAAGAAAGGGAGATCCTTTATCTCCGATCCTTTTTGGTTTAGTGGCCGAGGGCCTTTCGGATTTGGTTAAAATGGTGGAGATAGGTGAATATGAAGGGGTTTATGTCAATAGGAGATGTACGGTAGATAGTTGTTAGTAGGTGAGAGTTGTTTGAAGCAAGTGTGGGCTTTTAAGGAGGTTCTTAGGAGCTTTGAATTAGTTTCGGGTTTGGGAATCAACTTTCACAAAAGTAAGTTGATTGGGATACACTCAAATTCTAATTTCTTGGAGGCTTCAGCTTCTTTTCTCTCTTGCAGGCTAGAAGGTAGTAATTTCAAACTGCTTGGTATTCCCATTGGGTCGAATCCGATAATAATTTCAACTTGGAAGCCTTTGATTGATAAGATCAAGAAGTGATTGTCGTGTTGGAAGGGTCATTTCCTTAGTTTCAGAGGGAGAATCACCCTTCTTAAATATGTTTTGTGTTCTTTGTCTATTTTCATGCTATCTTTTTACAAGATGTCGATCAAGATAGCGGAATAAATTTCTAGTTTGCAAAGTAATTTCTTATGGGGTGGAACAGAGGAGAGGAGATGGATTAATTGGTTAGGTTGGAAGGAAGTTTTTTTGCCCATGGATAAAGCAGGTTTGTGGGGTTAGGTGCATCGTGGACTTTAATGTGACGCTTCTACTCAAATTAAGATGGAGAATTTTAAAAGGTTCAAAATCTCTCTGATTTCAGTTATTGAGAGCTTGATATGGAGATATTTGTTTACAAATGGTGAATGGAGGACAAAATCCTAATCCTAGAGTTTCCAAATCCGAGGGGTGGATTAATATTGGTAACATTGAGAGGAAGCTCGATGAAGTGGTGTTCGCTAAGAACTGTAGATTTTCTATAGGAAATGGCTTCACTACTTCTTCTTGGCACACTGTTTAGCTGGAAATTCTTGTTTAAAGGATAAATTTCGTATTCTTTTTTCGTTTTCAGGTTTGAAAGAAGTATCAATGGCTGGAATGGGAGGTTGGGAGGAAGGGTTTTAGCATTGGGGTGACTTATGTATCAACATAGGGGTTAACGTTGTATCTCCGAACAAGTTGTAAGCGTTGCAGCAACTGCTGGAACCGTACGAACCAGTTTTGGTCGGTCATGACAACATCTCTTGGCTTCCTACTTCGGCATCGGGCTTTATGGTTAGTTCTTGTTTTGATTTAATTACGGATAGCAGATCAGCTAATGGTCATGTTATTCTTTCCAAAAGTGTATGGAAGCTGCTCTGGAAAACTGAGGCACCTCTGAGAATCAAGGCTTTTGGGTGGTGTGTTTTTAGAAAGAGACTTCCTACAATGGACCAACTTAGAATTAGAGTTATTATTTCATCTGATTCTAATTTTAATTGTGTCCTTTGCTCGTTTGTAGAAGAATCTTTGGACCATTATTTTGTGTTGTGTAGTATTGTGAGATTGATTTGTAGGGCGATTAAGGAGTGGGTTGTTTTGTGGAAAATCCAGTTTGTTGCAAGGGTAGTTTGAGGTGGTTCCTCTATTGCAAATCTTAGAAGTTA